TTTTTTTTTTTTTTTTTTTTTTTTTTTTTTTTTTTTTGGTTTTGGTCATATGGTTTCAAAAAGTGAGGTTGAAGCATATGACAAAAATTGGACTTTGAGATAATTAGTTTTGATTATGTTATCAGCCTTCATTTGCTATGTAGTTGAACACAGTGACTTCTTTCAAAGTGGTGTAATATTGATGACCATATGTTCTCATAGCTTTTTCATTTAGAAAGAAATAACTTATGTATTCTTTCAGGAAATTTGCCTGCTAAAAACAAAAACAAGTAATAGCCCACATACTTTCTTCTAGAAAATTGTCAGCTTTTCATCACCCTGTCAATACCCCACCTCCACCCCGGTGGGTTTGGCACATATCAGTGCATGCTTATTGGCTGTCTTGGAGAAACAAGCATCTGGTTACTCAGCATAAGCTTCCTCTAAAAGAAGTTAAGCTTTTCTTCAGGAAATATATGGAAATATTTAAGACTAAGCAAAACAAATCTGTTAATAACACCACTATATTTCATTCCTTAGGAAAAGTCAGGAAAGTTTTCATGGTTGGCTTTTTATTATAGAAGTCATGATGAAGAATTCTTGGTTCATTGGGGATGAATGTCTGAGTTACAAAAAATAAAATAAGTCCGGTTTGGCAAATCTTTTTAAAAGGGGCAGATAGCAAACTTTAATCTTTGCTGCCTATTGATTTTTTCCATTTATTTAAATTTGTATTTGCATTCTATGATTGTTTTATCAAATAAGTATGTTCTACCAAAAGTAATTTGACAAATATTCATATAAATAGGACAACTCTATAAATGAGTATAGACAGACAACCCATGGGTTAAAAGAAATTGGACTTAAGGTGAAAAGGTATCAGTAACTGAAAGTAGAGTTTAAACAAAAACAAAAAAACCCTCAGGATATTGGTTTCACGATTATACTATTACAAACTCTTGGGAAATTCTTTTGGGTGATGAGCCAGATGCCTGCAGAGCAGACACCTCTGATTCAGTAACAGCAGTTCTGGATCTGTGCATAATACCCAATTGATTATGGGTCATTCAGTTTTAAATTATATTGTAGACACAAATATGGCATGAATGAAGAAAATGGTTTATTCAGTGAAATTGATGTTGATCAGAACCTTTATGAGGTTTTAAAAGTGAACATTTTTATGAGGCTTCCTCCTTATAATTATTTAGGATTGGCCCCAAAACCTTACATTTGGTTGCTTTGAATGGTGGAGGATCCAACTTGCTCTTAAGCTCCTTTAATAAGCAAAAGCTTCAGACACTTTTTAAAACTAAAATGCAAACTAGAATTCTGATTTTTTGAAAATTTGCTTGGTTAGAATCACATTGCAAAAATGAATGATTTCTAGCAGCACTTAAAAATTAATAAAACATGCTTTACAATGGAAAACAATGAGGCATTCTTTTCTTTTTTTCCAAAAATAGCACAATGCAACTGATTTTTAGTACAACTTAATAACTCATTCATAAGATCTAAAATTTTTCCTAGGTAATGTGGTATTTAAAGGTTAGGCTGGGATGTGGAAAATTAGCTCAATGCTCTTCATCAAACCTATTTAAGAGAGATTTTAATTCACTCCAGTTGACATGAGTGGCTCTCAGTGCCCTGCTGAGCCATATTAGAGCTTGAGGCAAAAGAGAAATTCAACTATACTGGTTCTGTTTTTATTTAAAATTCTGATATTCTGGATTTTTTGCATTGACTGTAATTCGTTTAAATAGTTCATCGAAATATTACAATTCTTGATTATGAAGTATTTTGTTGCCCCTTTAAATTTTCCACTGGATGCTAATGTCTCTCATTGCTTGGGCCTTGTCTGTGGTGGTTCTGATAAAGATATCTAAGAGATTTATTTCATTTTCCCCTTGTACCAATACAAATATCTAAATGTTGCAGTTGTTACACATCATCCTACTGGTACTTACTCCTCTAATTTTGTTGTGGTCTCAATGCCGTGAATACACTGTTAATTTCATGAATCTGGCACCTTTTACCTGTAGTTGTGTTAGATCATTTAAAAAATACTGTATTTCATCAATAATTAGGATTTGTATATTTTAACATTTCTCTGAAATTGGGACATGTTTTGCTGTAAATGGCATCAGATAATTGGCAGCTATTTTTTCTTTTTGGTATGTTTTACAGTTGGCGGTATCTCTAAGTTGATGAAGCGCCGTCCTCACCATAGCACCTAGTGTAGGAATGTTGCTCAATTTTATTCTAAGCATCTGTACACTGAGAACATTTTATGATTGAGCAATGGTATTTATTTCAGTAGCCTTTTATTTTTAAAATTCCTTATTGGTCACTTAAAAATTATGTATGCGAGTTCTAAATAATATGAATTATAAACATGAATTTTAAAATTTGAGCCCATATAAAACCAAGAATAGCAAAAAATAATAGTTTGCAATAAAAACAATATCGTTTTCATTGAAATATAATTAATGGACAATAAACTTAATTTAGATTATTTTGAATACTCTCTTTTGCAGAGTTCTAAGAATAGCTAGAAAACTCAGCTATGATCACAGTCTACCCCATGAGAGAATTCAACTCTTCTTTCCTCTTCCGTTCTGTCTTGTTCTCACTCAAAGGCTCTGATTGAGAAGGGAGAGCATTTTTCATGGAAGTAGAGTGGAGGTAGGAGCTTTGAGGCCACTGTTCTCCATACGTTGCCCAGATACCCGCATAACTGCAAGGCGCTAAGCTCTCAGTTTGTGCAAGTGTGACTAGTCCCCTGGTGGTTTTGCCCCTTAGCAGTGACAAACCCTGGAGTGGCTGCCATAAGTGTAGAAGCACAAGTTACTGCATGTAGAGCATACTGCTTGGGCTCCAAATTACACCTGTGTGGCCCTCCTTCTGTTAACAGATGAGGTTGATCGGATGAGAAAGGTAGTGTTGCGAAACAGAATAGCCTTAGACATAGTAACTACTGCCCAAGGAGGCACCTATGCTCTTTTAGGAACAAATGTTGTACCTTTATCCCTGACAACTGGCAGAGCATAACAGCCCTGCAAGGGGTCTCTGGGAGATTAAGGCCATTGAGAGCCTTACTGACGACCACCTGTAGAGATGGTGGGCATCTCTAGGTTCTGGATTATGCTGGGCCCAAATAGTCATAAGTAGCATAGCTGGAATCCTAGCAGTGAGATGTTGCTCTTTGTATTTTTGTTGTGGATTATAGATTCAGGGCCCTATGGTCCCTACCCAGAAGATGCCTTCAGCCTAGGAGATGGAGTGTCAGGGAAATGGCTGCGCTTTAGTCAGGAGTAGGCTGAGGCAGCCTTCCAGCCCAGCTTGACTCTGCAGATTTGGAGTGCAGGCTCACAACTCCACACATTATGTAACCATGCCCCGTGAAGTGCATTAGGTAACCACTCACGTTGAGCTTGTGCTTGGCTTGGAAGCCACTATTATCTGTGAAAGTTATAATTACCCTGCTAATGCTGTACATACTGGCTTGGATCCAGAGAGATTAAAGGCATGTCTAAACTGCCTTTGATTCCTCAAATGTTTTTCCAGCTACCTACCACTCACCCACCCACTCCCTTTTGACCTCAGCTTGGGCTGGAACCTGGCAATTGGTGTGACACGCATTTTAGATCTTGAAGACTTAGTACAAAGACAAAAAATAATGCAAAGCATCTCATTAATTTATATTGATTAAATGTTTAAGTGACAGTATTTTGGATGTATTCAACTTATATTGGATATAGTTTGAATATATTGATTATATTAAGTATGTTTTAGAAATTAATTTAAACCTGTTCCTTTTTACTTTCTAAACTGTGGCTGCTAGGAATTTGTAATTCCCTATGTGGCCAGCGTTTGTAGCTAGTGATTTACTTCTATTGAAAAGTGTTGTTATGTATCTGATAAAACAGGAAAATCTGGAGACAAATGGCATCTGCAAGTTGGTTTCCTCCCATTTCTGTGTTTTCTTTAAAAAAGCTTCTGCAACTCCGAATCACATGTCCCATACTTGACATTGTATTGGTGTTTCTTTGTGGTTGCCAAATTGACTTGTTGCAAAATATTTTGAAATGTCACCTATGGTGAGCTTCTCATGGGGTCCCCTCCTTGAGCAAGCCAGCAAGCAGCCCCTTCTGTTCACCAAGAGTCAGCCCTAGCTGGGCTCTGCCTCAGTCTCTTTCTCTTTGCACCCCTTGCCTTCTTTGTCACTTTCATCCATTATTTCATGTTGAGGCTAGAGAAAATGACAAGAGAATGGGAAATGAAATAAAGCATGGAGTGATTAAGCTAATTGAAATCACAGAAATGATAAACCATTTGTATACTAATGTCTGGATCGTGTGGCTCCTTTGCTCATAAGATCTATGAAACAAGACAGAATTACTACCGTTAACGAAACTGAAAAATATAAGAGAGAAAGAGCATATTTGGAATTGCTGTGTGTACATTTTTCCTTTTCTGTAATCTGAAACTTTGACTTGTCTGGGAGTAGGACTGGCCTCTTCCTCTAGTTGTTCAAGTTATTTTAAAGTTCTGGAATCATCTTTTTGAAGAAAGTATGTAGTTGTAGTAAAAATTAAGTCACTGATGAAAAATAGAGATAATCTTTGCATTAATCGTTTTTTTGGTCCAAGCTTTCTTCTCAAAGAAAAAAAATTTAAATGTCTTATTTTCTCCTTTTTTTGTTAAAATGTTTAATTCAGTTTCTTCTTACTTGGCCATAGACCTTACAGTGATAGATATCATGGATAAGTAGCTGAAGAAAATAATATAATTGTCTTTTAAAATGAATAAATTATTTTTTTCCTTCATTGAAACTGCCAAATTTCAGCGCATCACTTTAAGGAATTGACCCACTTAAACTTTTGCAACCTATTTTAAATTGGCTGGAGAAAGATGTTATAAAAAATATGGAATTGTAAATGTTGGAATTAAAAGCAAATGAAGTTATTTTAACATCATTTTTAAACATGCCTTAGAATTCTCCTAAGAATAAGAATTTGAACTGCATATTTAAATTAGATTTAGTCAAATGTATATGCATAAAAATTAATTTTGAGAAAGGAAAAAATCTTGAAAAACAAAATTGATTGCAAACCTCTCTATATTGTGTTTATAAACTCAGTGACCATTATTTTATATATGGGATTTTATTTACCATTAGGAAAATTTGCAGTTTACAAATTTGCAATTTGAACTGACCCATAATTGAAGCCCACACGCTAGTAAAGGATTTAATAGCTTCATGGCTTACAATTGTTTTTTTTTTCATCAGCCCTGTTCAGGTGCCATTTGTAAGACATATGACTCGCTTCCTTAACCTGGTAAGTCTGGGCATCTTCACTATAAATATGATTTGCTTCTATGTATTTCAGGCAACATCTCTTCCTAGCCATAATTGAAAAGATTATTTACTGGAGAATGGCAACAAATGGCTTTTTCGAAAAAGACTTAACATATCCTATAGAATGATTTATATACAGCAAACTGAACAGTTAAAATGAATATAAATGTACATTTAATTAACTTGAAATGATAGGAATTGAAAAATAAAGAATAGCTCTGGTGATAACTGCTGACTTGTTCCCACATGGATAATGATGAAACACTTAGAATGGAGTGATTAAAGGAACTAAGTCCTGATCTTCTTTGAAACTATGTCTAGGATTAGAATGTCTCTAGTGAATCCTTCATTGCATTAAAAGTCATTATTTTTCTTTGAAGACAGAATGGGAGAAAATATAGATAGAAAGATGAATTTTTCTTAATAAACATAACTCTCATAGGGTTACCTACATCTGGATAGCATAAAATAATCAAATGAATTGGATTTTCTCAATTCAGAGACAATTCTTCCATTCTAGCCAAATAACTTTCTTATACCCTCCCCCACTACCATTTTGGGAATCCTGTTTTTTAACTGGACTCCACAGCTTTCCTATACATAAACTTGGTTCTATTTATAGATTAAGGTTTTTTTTTTTTTAAGATTGGACTAAAGTATAAGCCATTGTAGTTTTTTGCATACTCATTCTTCAGTCATTTATTCTCTCTATTATTCACTTGCAAAATGATTAAATGTAGTTGGTTTTCATATGAGAAACAGAGACATTTCTGTTCAGTTAAGGAGTATTTATTCTGAAGAGGTTTTGATGTAATGATTTAACTGGTGTTTGAATTAGCTGAGGATGCTTGCTGAAGGGCAAATATTCTTAAATTATAAATCCCTGGATTCTTTAAGCTTTTCAGCTACCATTGGCTTTAGACTGAAAAGAAATCTTAAAACATTTTATATTTATAGGTCATATTCTCTCAGTGTGCAGCTACTACTTAGCTGTAAATTAAACATTTTTGGAAACTGCCTAAAATTCTCGGGGCCCCGGTTACCTTATATATGTATCAAAACTAGTTCTTATTTTAAAATGCACCTTATTTACTAATAAAGTATGGCTGAGCTTTAATTTTGAAAAGCCTGGGGCTTAGAAATCCAAATATCTAAAACATAGAAAATAGGAGGCGTTAATAAGGATTACTAAAGAATATTTTTGTTTTATGAAAGAATTGATCAGTGTTCCCTTTAAAAACACGAATACCCTTTACTGTAGTTATTATTCTTTATTTAAAGATATTTATCTACAAGCTACAAAACTTGCAGATGAAATTTAAAATTTAATTTTAGGAGCAATACTCTTTGGAGATCAATTCAAAATGACAGCTAAGCATCTCTGGAATTGAAATTTAGTCCAGTGGGAATCAGATTGTTATTTAGAGATGTTCAGTTGTTTGACTCAGATTTTAGGAAAAGTCAGTCATGTAAAATTCTTCTAGAATCATGTTTGTTATGGAAAACAATAGCTTATTACCTGAGCTTTAGCCCTAAATATTGAGTTCATTAAACATACCTTCTGCAGTCTTCAAATGAAACCCCATTATTTATTTGAAGTAAAAGGAAAATTAAATATTTGGTAATCTTAAAATTACATTTAATTATAGATGAAAAATAATTGAGATATGATTAACCTTCTATGTGTCACGTGGGGATCACCTATGTTGTGGTTATATTTGTTTAACTTCATTGACTGATGTTTCCTTTGTATTATAGACATGTAGTAAATTCTTTCTGGTTGCCAGGAACTACAATCCATGGTAGAGATGTGAATTAATAAGATACTCAGGTTCTTGAACCTGAGTATCTTAGAGTCTTGTGAGTTCAGACAAAGCACAGACAAAAGAGCGATGCAGTGTCGCAAGGCTCTGCTAACTGTTGGTTTAGGGCATCCTGAGGGAACATCGCTTAACAATTATGGTGCTTTGCAACTTCAGACTATTCTGTTATTAGTAAGCATCCACGCCAAACCAAATGCCTCCTGAAGAAAGTTACCAGTTCTGCCTGGACCGAGAATTGTAGGAGGGGAAAGCCTTTGACCTGGGTCTTAGGTGGTCAGGGCAGGGTGAATAGCAGAGAAGGCAGCATGATCAAAGATGCGCATTTGTGGTGGAACCTTCCAGGTGTCTGGGATCAACATCTCACTCCCTTTCCAGGATCCCTGGCCACTCTTGGGCAAAATGTGTGCCCATTATTTGTTGTTGCATTTAACCATCCCCATAAGGTCTCATAGAAGCTGAAGCTTCTTAAGCTAAAGTCAAATCCAGGAGTGAGATTTGACTCAGGTTCTGAGCCATTAACAAGCCATTTTACTGCCGGCTTAGTCATCCTCTTGGCTCTTTCTCTGGGTGAGCTGTGGCACAGGTTATTTCTTCTTTTCCAATTTGTTCACCTGGCATTGAGTTTTCCAGGTCCAGATCATGGTAAAGTGTCCCTTCAAGACCACCCTTTAACTTCGGTCATCTCACTAAAATATCTCTTCTCTTAAACTTTGCTCATTTTTTAAAGGTGAGTTGAAATAAATGTGCGTTGGATATGGGACTTGAGACTTGGAATTTATTCCATCTCGAGCACCACTGGTGGTCTCAGTATCATGTGGAGGTGGGGACAGATATTGATAAGGGACAAAAGCTAGGCTGTTACCTTAACTTGCAGGAAAATAAATATGCAATCTCACACATGCTTTGGAATAGATAGATAAATAGTCTGTTAGATTAAGGAAATGAGTAGATGGCAGGGTTCAGTCTTCTGTGTCCTGTTCTTAACCTGAGGAGTGTTTACTGACACCGTTTCATGAGTGCATACATTAACCTGGTATACATAGTTACCTAGGCTAACAAGGCATATTCAGCCTTGTTGTTTTGGGAGCAGAGTTGACTTAATGGTGCTCCTTCGTCATGGCCACCTGTATCCCCACCTGTTCAAGGTTTCTCTAGTTTAATTGCTTTGTTATCTGTTTATCACTCTACCTCCTCACCTTCAGTCCCCAGGAAACATTCATTCTAATGTGTTTAGTAGCTTCTTTGGAAATAAATGTATCCTTCTAAAATAAAGTGTCATCTGTGTACATATACTTTTAATAAAGATAAATGATATTGTGCTACACCGTAAGATGCCAGGTAGTTGGTTGACAGAAGTTCAGTAAGGCTTGAAGTTGTTACAGGCACAAATGGCAAAGAAGGCATGAGCTAGTTGATAGATGGCCTTATAATTCATGCTAAGAAATCTGAATTGTATCCATTGGCAATTGGGAGTTATTGAAAGGTTTTTAAAAAAAGACAACAAAATGAGCTTTAAGACTTAAGCATACTTTGACAGCAGAGTGGAAGGTGGCTCAGAGGGGTATATAGGTAGATGCTAAGCTTGGCACTTAGTGCATAGGAACTCATCAACAAAAAATGACAGCTAGTACTACTTTTCATCCTTCGGTAATCCCTGTCCTAGTGAACACAGTACAGCTTTAAGATTAAGGATATGTTCTCAGCTATTTCCTTAAGGAAAATTCTACTGAATTATAAAAAGTGTATTGGCTTTTAAAAATAGTAGTAGAACTATAATAAGAATTGTGAATATGCTTCTTTTTGAGCACATGAAACATATATTTATGTTCATTTGAGATGCTTTCTCTAGTTTTCTGGGCTGTAGGGATGATGAGTCGCCTTAGCTGTGTTCATCTGACGGCAGTGGTGAGGATCATTTTCACAGACACGTAACAGATCTCACACATATCCATTCTAAGAACACTGGTATGATATATTTGAATTTAGATAAAAATTCAAAATAAAAATAAGCTCCTTAACTAGTGGAGCTTATTTTCAGAGTCTGGCTGTCATTAATCTTTTTACAGCGAGAGCATTACCTGGGTGAAGGTAAAAACTTAAAACCAAAGCCTCCCCCCACCCCTGCTGTTTTATTGCAAGGGAATGTGGCATCAGTTTTTCTGGCATAAGGTTGTAATTAGGTCCAAAACAAAAAGAAAAAAACATTCTAGTTTCTCTTCCTTACATTTTCGAAAATTGGCAGATGGAGGGGCTACCTGCTGCCATGTGGCAGTCACCACCTGCACGGTGGCTGTCATTAGAGAAGACTTGCTGAGAGAGAGTACTTGTGTTAGCTCACTATAGTGTGTCTTGTACCTCTGGGATTTCTGTTTGAAGAATAATTGATCTTTGTATGAAAAACTCTAAATAGATGTTATGTTGATGGGCCATTCTTTCTTTAGGAGGAAGTTGGTTGCAGAAGAGTGTACAAAGCGTAAGTAATGGATTGAGGCCAGGTTGTTCTGGACAGTTTGTGACTTCCACAGGCATGTAGGGGACCATCTAGGCTGTCCAGAGCTGGCCTCACACCCTCTGTTCATTTGGCAGAGCTGTTATTCAAAGGAAGGTTGAAGGATTCTTTGCATTCCTTGGGAGTTTTCTCAAAGCCTTCATAAATTTCTAAAAGACATTTTTTTCCTCAAAGACATCAAATTGTTCTCAAATTTCTTGTTTCTCAAGGACAATCATAAATATTGTATAAAACCAGCTGTGTTTGCTGTGATATTTGGTCTCGTTCCAGGAGGGAATCAATATGGGTAATTTGTCAGTCTTCCCAATCTTCAGTAGCAGTGAGGTGATGTGTTGTTGCTATTTGGCTTTTGTTTTTGTTTCTTTGGTATTTTTTAGCTGTCAGATCTCCTGGTATGTGTAGAAAAACAGTTACATCATTTTTTAGAAAAGTTGAAGAACTAAAAATATGAGATAGAGTTCCATTCTGGAAATGTTAGTCCTTTTTCTTTGAAGGAAAGCAAATTCTTGATTTTCTAGTTATAAGTTTTCATACAAGGAACTTTTTCATTCAAAGAAATACCTCTATTTCATTGTGAGGCGATGCACCCTGCAACCTGGCCCAAATACTTCCTGTACAGCTGAGTGCTAGGACCTTAACACCAAAGTGGAGGACTCCTAATGGGTACCCAGAAAATATGGGTTTGAGGGATCACCAAACAAGCCAGATATCATGGTGGTTATAGGCATAGACTTTAATACTAGAGAGAACTGGCTTCAAGTTCCAGATTTACCTCTTACTAGTCGTACAACTTTGAGCAAGTCAGTAACCTCACTGTGCTTCACTCTTTTCATCTGTAAAATCAGCATTAAATAGCTAGCTTATAATGTTGTCCTCAGAGTGAAATGAGATAATGCCTCTGAGGAGGTGCCTGTGAGGAGCATAGCACAAAGCCTGATTGTGAGTAACTGCGGGCTAGGTGTCAGTTATTATTGTGTTCCAAGAGACCTGAATTTGCATGTTTTTTAGGATTCCAGGAGACTCAGTCAGTATATCCAGAGGCTTCCTTGACTTCTTTCTGAATATTCTGAAGTTTCTAGTGGCAGCCAGAAATTTCAAGATACAAATGAATCATCCACAAATTAAATAGAATTCTTTAGGCTGTGCCTTCTAAGTCTTCTGGAACAATCCAGGAAACTCAGAAATGTCTCTGAGTTTGAAACAGAGTAGGAATGAGCTAGGGGCCAACTCCCCATTGATTAATGTGATTTGTTAGTGGAGAGCCCCTATGCTCATCTGCTTCCTTCTCTGGGATAATCTTTGGAGCACTGGCTACAGTGTACATTTTGCAGGCTTCAGTTTTTAATGGGGCCCTCTTTTTTTGTCTTTGGGTAAATATATTTAAAACTAACTTCCTTGCAGAGTTAAAACTTTTTAACTCAAAGCAGCTTTAACTTAAGCTAAGTGTGAAGGATTTGAGACCTTTCACCACACCAAAAAGATGCCCTATCTATTCTGGGTACCCTGTGTTCCTTAATAGTTTGTGATTTTTAAATTGAGTAGGTCTCAACTTAAGCCAGGGTTTCTCAAACTCAGCACTACTTGCATTTTGGAGCAATAATTCTTTGCTGTGTGGGATAAGGGGTCATCCTGTACATGGCAGGATGTTTCGAAATATCCCTGCCTTCTGCCTAAGAGATGTCAGTAGCAGCTCTGTCTCACCCCCAGTTATGATAACAAAAATGCTTCTACCCCACGGAGCAGCCAGGCTGAAAATTCTCAGTGTTCTTTGTGTGGGAGTCTCTTCACTAACAGATTTAAAACTTAAGATTTTTTTTTCCCCTCTATTGAAAGTTCTGTTAGAAACTCCTTATAATCAACTAATATGTCATTATACTTAAGAAATATGAGTATCCACACAACTTTTCTCAAAAATATCAACAGTGAAAATCAGGGTCTAAGGTGGCAATGAATAAAGCAGGGTGACTAGGAACATAAGTGATGAAGTCAGACCGGATCTGAATTGTCTTCCCTCCCGCTGCGTGTCAGCTTTGTGACCTTGGTCATGTTCCTTCAGGTCTTTTAACCCCAACCTTCTTATCTCCTGTTATGATAGAATATTGTTACAAAATAATGTGTGCAAAGTGATCAGTATAGTGCCTAGAGTATAATACGCAATATAAATTGGCTATTTGTACTTTTTCATTGAAATTATAAAAAAAAACCAAAAAAACAAAAAAACAAAACTTTCTTTAAGTGAATTTCATCTGTAAGGATTTCCAGAGAATACCCAGAATACAGACATAGCTACTTGGTGCTTATATATTTTACTGTTGTGGACTCAGAAAAGAAGCCAATGAAATTGGACTTAACTTTATCCTCTTTTAAGTGATGTGTGATAGGTGAATTGATTGTCCTTTTCAGTAATTTTTTTGGCAATAATTTGTATGGATATATCAAATTACAGAAGTAGAATCTTCTTTGTAGTGAATATTAGTGTTCTTAAATGTGTGTCTTTTTCTCTGTCAGGACAATTTTTTTTTTTTTTCTGTAGAAGCTACTCTCCAAAAGTGTAATAGAAAGAAATTGAAAAAGTAATACATCATTAAAAGTGGTGACATTTTGGGGAATGAATTTATTTAATTTATAAGATATGGTTGGTACCTAGAGTTGAGTGTAAGTGTAAGGTTTTGTTAGTCTTAGGCTGTGTAACTTTGGTGAAGAGTTAGTGATACTTTTCTATGCTCTTGGAACTACTTTTGAAAACTCACTTTCTTCATCATTGTTTAAATGCAGGCAAGACTTGACCAACAGCATATCCATATAATGGAAAGTCATGTTTTAATACATTTCCAACATTTTTGCAATCATGGATCTGCAAATCTGTTTATTAATAAAGCACATGTTACAACTCAGTTTTATAACAGTGCATATATTGTTCTTTCTTTGCCCATAACCCACATTTTACATTTCAAAAGTTTGCTTTATAATTAACTGATAAATTTAACAGTGCCTTTAATTCAGAAAAGGAACAAAAATACTTCATAATCTTTTCAGAATATTTTTCTAGTATAGAGCTTTAAGAAGCTGATACTTAAAAATCTGCAGATGCTAATGAACCATTTAATTAATTCCCATCAGTATAATGATATACCCTGATGTAATTTTTTGTTTCATTTCTCATCTTGAATATGATTGAAAGCCATTAAGACCATCAAATAAATGTCTTGTTAATATGTTGAAAATACCATTTGTGTCTTTATAATGACAATTAAAATGAAGGAAGCTGACATTTACCAATATGGGAGTTTTTATTGTTGTTTAAAATACTCCAGAAACAACTACAAAGGCTTTCTTAATGTTGACATTTTGAAGAGTAGATCATATCAATTTAGATGATGAAATGTAGTTTCTGAGATAGATGGATTTGATATAAAAAAGTATCTTATCAAAGATAAGATATTGTAATAGCAAAATGGCATGATCAAATGGTTACCATATTATGGTTCTACATGGCTATTTTTGTTAAAGACACTTGGTTTCCTGATAAACATACTGTTACCTTGTTTATTGCTGAATTAGCTGGAAAAGTTTTCCATACTTTATTTGAACTGTATGTGCAATTGGGTGTGCTTTTGGCAGAGTTCTTTAAGAAGAAAACTGTTAATTAAAAGGTTTTATTTTCTCCTCAAAATTTATCAGTGGGAAAAATCATTGCCTGCACAGATAATTAGAAACTTTTGGTAGCATTAGCTTTTCAACTGATAAGCTAGAGAATAGTGAGCTATTTTAATTTTCTGTACCATTTGCCTGGTGCAGTTTAATGAGTATTGATTCATACAGATTAATTTGAAATATTAATATTGTAGGTAGGGAGAACACAGGCAAGCTCATTTTTTAACGATTTCTTGTCTCTCTGATTAGGTTAGTTTTCACCTGGAATTCTGAAATCAGATAAAGAGGAAAGAAGAAAATTAAAATTCATTTAGTTTCATTTATGTGTCTGGCACTGGGGTAGGACCTTTCACATAAAATATCTAATTTAATCACAATGACTATCTTAGTTGTTGAATATTATGATCTTCATTTTTTTTGCATATAAAGAAACTCTAAACCTCGTTCTTAATCTCTTTTCCTCTAAGACTTAAACTTTCTAATTCTTTTTTCCCAATGTGTGTAGGAGGAGCTAAATAAGTATTAGCTTGGAAAAAGTGATTTTCTGTTTGGCAATATTTAGACAAATTCTGCCGCATTTTGTTGAAAAGGCTCATTCTCAGTTTTCCCCAGGCTGCAGCCAGTGGCAGCTTCTTCTGCTAGATGATTGTCACCTGAGATATTGCAAAGGGCTGCAATACCACAGCCACAATCCTCTGTTTTCTTCAAAGGCAGGTAGGAAATCTAGGACTGAAGTTAAACAGGGCACAGAAGAGTTTATCATTTTGTTTGGTTCTCTAGGTAATAATTTGATGCTATTTTTAATCATTGCAGGAAGCAAAACAGACCATGACATTTTATTCATTCAAGATTGCATTTTTGGAGAACTCAAATTATTTCATGACCCAAGCAAACATTACCAATAATAAAGAGGAAATTGACATTCTCTCAAGGGCTTTCCAATAATTTCTAATCACATCAAAGCCCTGACATGTGGCCTAATACTCTAATCCTTTTTCTCCAGCCTCCCTTGGCCATTCTCACTCTACAGTAACAGGGGAAATGTCGCCAGTCCCCTAGGGAAGATAAAGGATCAGCTCAGTTCTTTTTCTATGACCAGCCTTTGCTGTTTCAGTTTGAGGTACTTTGTGATCGCCACTGTCCCACTTAACTGTTCTCAACCATTTACTCTCACTCTACAGACATTTGCCCAGGACGCTCAAACTGACATTTGCAAACATGCTTTGAGTTGTAACCTCCTTTTCCTTCTTTTTCTCTTTGAAGATCAGAACACCTGAGGTGACTACTTCTTTTAACTCTGAGCTTTTGATAGATGTTGAGTGATTGATATTCCTGCAGCTCTGAGGACTGGACCCTTAGCTTTAAATGGATGTTTGAAGAACATGAAAATGTACAGAGAAGGCTCTTCTACAGGCGTAGAGATAGTATCATGTTTGACCTGCAACTCCATTATTTGTTTAAATCACTTGTTTTAAAAAAAGAGTTTTCTTAGGTGACATTGTGGTTATACTACAAGAAAAAAGGGATAGGAGGCCATAGTGTCTCAGTGCTTTCCTGGCATTGATAAATCACCAGGAGCGAGCAATCTATAATTTCAATTAATATTGCATTTTCAAGAATAGGAATAGCAATATTCTAACCTGTTTCATAGCTATTTAAATGTTCTCTGAAAGACTGGTTGAGAACAAAACCAAAACAAGTAGTGAAGACATTTGACCTCTACACTAAAAACTGACTTGGTTTTATAGTTGTATCCTAATATGTTTTGAGAATCAAGAGCACATAGGAATTCATCTTAAAATTTCTAGCTGGTTCAAGTTTCTCTCCTTTGTTTTTGACCCAAAAACAAAATGCAGGAAAACTACTGAAAAGGCATTAAAGAAATATATAAAGGACATGGGCTTAGAACTGAAGAGACCTTAGGCTTCTGATATCTGTAAGAGGGATTAAATATTAATGCATCTGATAAGAAACAAGCTAGGAGAATTTCTTCCCAGAATCTAGAGGTCTGGCCAATGCAAGGACTGGAATCTGCTAAAAAATGAATGTCAAATTTCAGAGTTACATTACATAGTGATTTAAAGCAGCTTAGGTTAGTTTAAGGCACCCATTTGTGCCTAGTTAGATCTATGTAGTTAACTCTTATTTCAAGGAGAATGTTATTGTTAACTACCCTAAATACACAATTGATATAAAATCATGGTAAAGCCTGTTGTTTTAAGAAAGAATTCGAGTTTTCCTAGGGAAATAAGCAATACTCATTCATTCAGGCTTGGCCTGTAGAACATATTTTATAATAAAGCAGTTGTTAAATAAATAAATGTGCCTCAGCCAATAATTCCAACACAAGCTTATATTTTTAACATGTTTCAGACACTACAAAGAGTTTGAACTTACGTGATCCTTATAATGACGGCATATGTGATTATGCTCCTCATTTGTAGAAGAGCAAGCCAATGGTCAAGTAGGCCAAATGATTTGGCTGTGGTCAGGACCAGCTTCCTGGGCATGTGTCCTGTATAGCCCCACAGATTCCTGTGCTCAAAAGGGCACTGCACTTGGTTTAATGCTTTGCCATGGCCATGTTGAAATTTTAATAATTTTTGAACAACAGGCCCTGTATTGTCTGAATGCAAATTTTACTTCTTGTTTTCAAATAAATTCAGAACCCTGAAGTTGGTGGAGTAATATGTAAAAAAAAAAAAAAAAA